AAATTAAAATTAAAATTTCAATCGATATCAAACATGCTTATATCAACAAAAAAAATCTCAAAAGTTGGGGCGTCACGTGACCACAGGACCCCCGAGTCCACCCATGTGATGAGTCACCTCTATACAGTGAACTGGATTCTGGCTGCTAGCTAGTTTTTCTTTGAATTTTTACCATTTCAGCAAATGGAAAATACAACACCGAAGGATTGTTAATAATATACTATCTAAGCTAATTTAACACTTGATTATAAAACTCAATCTAGCTATTACTAAGAACGATTAGAAATCCGTTTTCCTTGAGCTTTGAATGACCTATATTAGGAATTTTCTGACTTTGATGTGGACGTGCATTCTTGTTGTAGATTGTTTCTCACTGTAGTAGTTGGATATTTTGAACCTAGAATGATCAAACCAACACCAAGACTTGCACTTCCCCAACACAAATTGAGAGGCAGCTTTCGATGATGGTTGTAATAGGAACCACGGCAATGCACCGAACGTGAGTTAAGAAAGCCAAAAACCAGAGAAAACCTACATGCCAGACTAACCAATATAGTAGTCATATATACTATTTGTTCGAATTGCTCGGAAATTTTATACATTGAGCTCTTGTATCACGAACAAAGTCCCTGTTTTGTTTACAATTTTTTAACCACATATTCCATTAATTTTTATCAAATTTTATTAAATATGTGATTTTTATCTAAACCGAACAGGGACTAAATCATGAAGTCGACCAACTTCCATGCGATAGAAGGGGAAAAAAAGATATTCTTTATCAAAATTTTCATTGCCAACTCAAACTGAATGCGAATGGCGGGCCCGGATTTTATGTAATCTGAAAAATCCATTAAAATCTGTAAAGAATTTAGAATAATAGGATGATGCCGCCTGCAATTATGGGTAGTGCCATGCTCGTGGAGAATAAGTGGATCGCCACTTAGATAACAGTCTTCATATATGTCACAGAAGGGAGGATAAAACAATAGTATCACAATTTTCTAACACAAATAAGAGAAATATTCTATCTACAAATGGCCTGATGATGAAAAATCTTTAAATACGTTGCCAATATATTTGCAGGCACATCACAGAAAGAATCAGAGGCCAGATAATCAAAATTTCGAAACCAGATCAAGAATCTGCCTTTCTGCTTAACATATACCATCAAACGACTAAATTCAGTTAAAAACTTTGAGGGTCATTGAATGCATGACTCAATTTCAATTTCCAGTGTATTATCGAACTACTTCTGTCACAAATAGATACGTTTATAATTTTGTTTCAATCAAGTCATCCAGTCCAAAAATCCATTAGCTTGTCAAACAGAAACACTAACATAGCATCTGCGTCATTTTTCTGTTTGGCGAGCTAAGGGAGTTGGATGCAGTCTCTTAATTGAAATAAAAGTATAAATTGAGGAAAGTACGAATGACAAGATGAAATTGAACCTGAAGTTTAAGGTACATTCAATAACCACTAAAATCTTTTACCAGTTAAGTTCACTTAGAAAACATAAAAATGCCA